CAAATCCAAATGCACTGGACCCGCCAATGCTCTGCGAAGTCTGAACACTGGTAGATGTATAAAGTCCCGTGACCAATATGCCATCAAAAAAGGTGCTTGTTGAAATAGTCACTGAAAGAGAAAAATATATATTTTAATATCCTGCAGTATTTTTTTTTTTAAACAAATAAACAAAAGCAACCCTCATTTTCAAAAGAACAATTCCCCCCAGCCTTCTTTGGACTCAGATCAATCGAATCATTTTATTTATTGATGTGTTTAATCAATTTATATAGCCAGCCATTTTGCGATTGTGACTCAGGGTGGCTAACAACATGTGGAAACAATAAAACCAATATTTTTGATGTTATATATGCTGACAGCAGCAAGAATACTCTTGCGCATAAAAATGGAAGGATATTGTGATTCCCACATGGACGAATAGCTGCAACAGCATCTCAGAATTGACTGCTTCGATTAAAGGAAAGAACACAATTAATTTTGTTTCTACTTGGAAACCGCTGTTGGACTTTGTGCTCGGGGTGGAAAGAAAATGAAACTTTGATTTTGGGTTTTGCTGATTAGATGGGTTTGTTGTTATAGAAATGGCCAGTATATATTATTATGTAAAGATAAAAAGTTGAGGTTGAATGTTATTATCTTATTCTACTGCGCCAAAAGGAGTTGGAAGTTAATACTTTTCTTTTTCTTTTCCTCTTTATCCTACACTTTTCTCCCTTCCCCTTTTCCTCCCTTGTTTTCATTTTTTTTGAACTTCTGTATTTTATATTTTGATCAACTAATAAAATACCAAAGGATCAAAATAATAAAACCAATATTGAGGGTGAAGGTTCATTCTATCGTGTTTCCCCCAAAATAAGACCCAACCAGGAAAATAAGCCCTAGCATGATTTTTCAGGATGCTCATAATGTAAGTAATACCCCAAAAATAAGCCCCAGTTAAGATAGTCAGCTAGATGGACGCATTTTAATACAGTATTTCCCTGAAATTAAGACCTGATTGGAAAATAAGCACTAATACATCTTTTGGAGCAAAAATTCTTTCGGAGAGACATGATATTCTATTCGGCACTATTGCAAAAACCAATATTAGCGGGGAGGGGAATCTTACGATGCTCACCGAGAATCAAGCGAGATAAAATAGTTGACAAAGAGGCCAAAGAGCCTTCTGACCTCCAAACAGATCCTGTCTTCAAATCTAATCTCAGAAGGTATGGTGTTCCAGAAGGAAGGAGCTGTGACAGAAAAGGCTCGTTTCCAGAGTCCCATAATGACGTTTTTTCATTGAAGCGATCCAGAATGTGTGTCTCCCACTGGATCTAGTGCAGAGGTGGGTTTCAGCAGGTTCTGACCAGTTCTGGAGAACTGGTAGCGGAAATTTTGAGTAGTTCGGAGAACCGGTAGTAAAAATTCTGACTGACCCCGCCCCCATCTATTCTCTGCCTCCTGAGTCCCAGCTGATTGGGAGGAAATGGGGATTTTATAGTATCCTTCCCCTGGAGTGGGGTGGGAATGGAGATTTTACAGTATCCTTCCCCTGCCACGCCCACCAAGCCACGCCCACCAAGCAATGCCACGCTCACCAAGCCACACCCACAGAACTGGTAGTAAAAAATGTTGAAACCCACCACTGATCTATCTAGTGGGACTAGTAGAAAGAATCAGGGAGAGGCGATCCTGCAAATAACCGGATCCCGTCTCATGAAGGACAACAGGTCCATGAATCTCACTCAGCAGCCTAGTGGGAACTAATGAAACTAGCAGAGCAGTAGTGTGACATGGGTGTGCCTGTAATTCCCTGTTATGACCCTATCTTGCACCACTGTGTGGATGAGTCATATGTCACAAAGTTCCTACGTTTCTTAGTGGCTCAATTTAAATACATCACTGATAAAGCTATGAGGAGGGAGGGAAGGAGATCCTATGACCCTAGAGCAGTGGTGGGTTGCCCCCGGTTCGCACCGGTTCTATAGAACCGGTAGTAAAACCGGGAAGAGGCCCCGCCCACTGATCCTGACGTCATGAAAATGCTTCTGCACTTGCGCAGAAGAGCGCGAGAGAGAACGAAGCAAGCACTTGTGCACAGCTCCATTGCGAACCGATAGTAAAGGTAAGTAGAACCCACCCCTGTCCTAGAGCCCTTTGATACCACAATGTAAAAAAGATGTTGAGACTCTAGAAAGAGCGCAGAGAAGAGCAACAAAGATGATTAAGGGACTGGAAACCCGCTTTCTCCCCCCCCTTCCCCCCAAAAATCCATATATTTAACAGCCCTTATGAAGCACTTATGAAGCTCTTCTATTCTTACTCCTTCTCTGTAGCTCAAAGTGGTTAACCATGAATGGTTCCTTTCCTGACTGGATACCAGGTAGCTGAGGGACAGGATTTGACATGCGGGAGAATCAGAAGAAAAGTTTTAGGAATCCCTATAGCAGCTTTTGATAAGCTTTCTGCTTTTACTGCTCAAGCCTGGAGAACAGATTGTCTATGGGGTCCTTGGTGAGCATGATCGTTTGCTTGAGATGTTTCATTGCCCTACTGGGTGACATCATCAGCGCTAAGGAGTGCAGTGCGTGCTCTCTCTACCTATGTACAGTAGCTTGCCCTGTCAGTGTTAGTGGGATGGGGATTTCTCCCCGATAGTTCCTTCATTAGGTATTATTGATTTATTGTCTCGTGTCAATTGACACGCAGATACAAAGCACATTTACACACCATTCATAAGATACAACAAAAACACTACGAAGGAAGCAAGAATACCGGAACACATCTCCTCCAGCAACCAATAGCCAGGTAAGCAGGGGTTAACATCAAACAAGCTACAGGTAGTTCTCACTTAATGATGGTTCTCACTTAATGAAGGGTGGGCTTCAAAAATTTTAGCAAGGGGTTGTCTGCCCGGTTGCTGGGTGGGCGTGGTCATGGTGGGCATGGCCTAGTCAGCCTCTTGCACACACAGTAGGTGTTCTGTCCCCGTCTCACACACGCACACAAACAGTCAGCCAGGGGTTAAATAAAACTTGCAGACAATAAATTCCTTCGATAACAGGATTGGCAGCAACCCAGTAGCTGCTTGCCAAGAACTTTACTCACAGAGGGAGGTGTTCCTCCTCCGTCAGATAAACCAAAACAAATACACAAAGTCAAAGAATTGTCAAGTCCAGTCCATATTAAATCCAAGGCAGGCAGATAACGTAGTTTCAGAGATACAATGCGACTCGCTAGTTGTTTAGTTTTGTCCGTCACAGAGCCTGAATGGCCACCACACCCCCTTTTATCCCCTGTGGGGTGTGATCCAGTGATTCAGCTTAAACACTGGCACGCCTCCTTTTCTGCTGCATGCGCTTGTCTCTCCGGCGCTGGCGTGGATCCAGCCAAGACTTATCTCCGTCACTGTCCGACTGCGACTGCTCGGAAATACCTGGCTCCTGGCCAATCCCTTCTCCTTCGGGAGACACCTGAGGCATTGCCAGAGAGGAGGGTCCTGGAGAGGGAGGCCTGGCCAACTCCTCTCCTTCACCTTCGGAGTCTTCTCCCTCCAATAAGACGAGCTCGGGGGTCGGAGTCACAACAGTAGGGAGGGCTTTTTGCCCTCCCCGGGCTCCGGAAGCTTTCCTCAAGCCTCCAGGAGGGTGAAAATGGCTTCTCCAGGCCCCAGGGCCCTCTGGAGGCCGGAAACGGGCCCATTTCTGGCCTTCCCAAACTTCCGGTAGGCCCTTTTTTTGCCCTCCCCGAGCCTCCATGCATGCCCTGCACTTATCTGCACCCAAAACAGGCCATGTAGGGACTCCTGGGAGGGGTGAGGTGGGAGGGGCCAGCCAGGAGTGGGATTTGGGGATTCTCTGAACTGCACAGAAACTTAACTAGAGGTTCTCCCAAACCCCTGTGAATCCCCAGCAGCCCGCCCCTGATTGAAACACGTGACGGATCCCCCCAAAAATTACTTGCAACCAGATCCCAAAGTTAGGACTACTGCAATGCCCCTCACAGTTGTTCATCCTTACGACCAACCACAGGGACACTGCCGCACTCCCCTTCCCTATCTCTCCCCCATTGGGTTCCTGTAGCTTCCCCCCACCGGGCCCCCACGAGCGTTTCCCCACCACCACTAGGTCCCCACAGGGATTGGGCCTCCTCCCCACCCCACCCCCATCATCTAACTCAGTCTCCTGATTTCAAGGTCAATAACTTAACCGCTACACCAATGTGGCTCTCCCCACCTTCCTTGTGGGTTTTCTCCCGATTTATGAAAAGGATTTGCATCTCATCTAAATACCACTCTGCAAAACATTGCTACATGGCAGTGATTCCTGAATATTTATATTATCACGGCTGTTTGGTACTGTTAGTTGTTTCCCACAGAAGAGTGTTGAAGATGCTCTGTTATTTGAACAGCCTTAGCTAAGAATAATCAAAATGAATGTTCGCAACGGCGTTATAGATGAGTGATATTACTTTGCATTTTCTGCAACAAAGGCCTTGAACTAAGTGAATGCTAGCATCCCTGAAGTAGGTGGGCTGGGGGTGTCCTTCTGACAGATTAGAGAATTAATGAGTGCTTTGATGTCTTAAGCCTAAACAAAGGCTTACACCGTTTTCCCCCCTCCTTTTTGCAAAACAGAACAAAACCCAGAGAAACGGCATTGTAGTTGCTTGCTTCTCTCCCACGAAAAATTCGTCGGTATGATTTTTCTGGGTGCTGCAATTAAGAGATTATAGCTTTTAGCTAATACTTCTTTAGAAGCCATGACCTTCCTTAGAAACAAAATAAACCTCACAATTTACTACTCAAAAATTGTCTGGGGCCAAGAACTAAGGAACAAATCTATACAATTTATCCAAAGTTATAACTTAAGAGAAAAACTGGTATGAAGGGCATACGGATGGCATACATATAGTTGGCATGAAACTCCATCAATCATTCCTGAAGTAGATGAATCATATTAAGTAATACATGCTGAAAGTGCCATAAAATGGAAAGAACATTGATATAAATGGTCACTATATGAACAATGGTATTTTAAGTCAAGGACCAGGGGTGCAATCCAGCAGGTTCTGACAGGTTCTGGAGAACCGGTAGCGGAAATTTTGAGCAGTTCAGAGAACCGGCA